TTATCCTGGATTATTAACATTGAGTCCGGATCTAAACAGTACTCATTTTGTGTATCAAAGTTATTTATTTATTAGAAAAAATTGTTTACGTGTATAATATCATCAAATCATATTATCCCGTGATTATACGTGTTGCCCTCTTTCAAAGGGCTCGACCCTCATTATTTTTCAAATATCGAGTGCTGTGGTCCCGGATTTCTGTTTCGGTACGCACACCACGTCCTGAATCTCCAGCACGTACACAATTCCGTTGAATTGATCCTCAAATCAAATTACAGTTGAACTCATTTTGCTGTTGTAACTGCGTTTGTATATCGCGATTGTTTATATCCATATTTATATTATAAATGCGAAATTTATCTGTCTGTCTATCTATAACCTTTACACAACAAAATATTTGAAACGTTATTATTGAAAGAAATTAAGTTAGATTGTATCAAGAAGAAAGATATATTGTGTTTTTAGACATCTTAAAGTATTTTTTTAATTTTACTCTCCGTAAGAATCATCCTCATAATTCAAGGAATTTTAAAAAAAAATTAGTAAAATCGGTTCAGCTGTTCTCGAGATTTGCGCTTAGCAACATAGTCAGCGATTCATTTTTGTAGTATAGATATTATCTGGAAGAGAATTAAATAAATCATGAAAGTTTGGACAGACGAGCTCCGTGGTAATAACTAGTATTCCAATTGCGAAAGTATCTATTTGTATGTTACCTTTTCAGTACTAAATTTCTAAATGGATCTTAACAAAAGACAAATATAGATTGTGTCTAGATAACGTATATAGATTAAAGACATAATACATACAAACAGACAGCGTCGTAGTCTAGTGGTAAGTGCTAGAAACCACAAATAATAGAAATATAAATAATCTTGATTCAAATGAACTTAATATAAGCATTTTTGAATGCCGACTCATCACAATAAGAGTGACGAAAACTTGAGTGTTGCTCTATTAATTAATCATATGCTTAAAAGAGCTCCAATATGGACGATATCAAAAAAATTTAACAATTTCTAACTCATTCAGTGGCGATGGAATTACCAATAACAAACCAAAGTCGAGAGATGGTAAGTTCGCCGAATTACACGTTGGATTTCAAACACGTAATCCGTGAAATGTGGACACATTTCAGGCTCTAGTGTTGTGTTTACCACCATGTTGACAGTTAATATTACCTCTGAATACCCCATCTGTGATTGCAGTTGTAATTTATGTACTTATATCTTGTGGCTATATTTTTTAATAAGATTAGACTCTTCATCATCATCGCAGCCCGGAAGACGTCCACTGCTGGACATAGGCCTCCATAGATTAGATTAGACATAGGTTAGACTCTTACTAGTAGATAATTAGGAGTGTAATTAAATAGTCCTTTATATAGCCCAAAATCGATTACTCACTATACACAAAGATAAATTCAACTTTTAAATAGAATACTCAATATCTTTCTAAGGGGGGAAGGGTTTCTTAGTAGGTAATGTGGACTAATAACCCCATTGCTAGTAATGCACCATGTCAGGTTGACCTCCACGAGGTTCCCTCTGGAAACCGTCGTGATAAATTCATGATGAATTTACCAGGATGGGCTAACTGACATGTCAAAATGAGCATGAGGTCAATGCTCATTTTAACATCCTCCACAGATGACCTGCTAGCGTAAACCGGTAGCGCTCACGCTAGCAGGTCAACAGATGCACCTATCTCATCAATAAAAAAATAAAAAATATACCTTTCTAAAAAGAGAAATGAACGCAGAAAAATATGATTAGGCGAATAGATATGTGTATAACAGCATCAGATAGACTGTTAGCTTGTTTCCCATTCTAAATCATATAAAAAAATATTGACTTAGGAAAGAAAGAATAGAAATCATGTTGGAATTAGAGCAAATGGCTCTGAACTTTCCGCCTACATTGGAAGAAAAAATATGTGCTCCGTAAGTAGGTAAGTTTGCAAGTAAGTTAATGTCCATAAGCTCATTTTGAAAACTCGATCACTAGGTCAAAGGTGGGTGAAGTTTTTTGGCATAATGCCTAATAACAATAAATATTGCGATACAAGCAAAGTAATAATTCATGTAAGCGTGAATTCGAATAATGTCACAGTTAAGTTGCGTACTAAGACTTTTGTACAACCAACCCAACAATAGCATGAAAATCACTGATATACATATATATAAAAAACTCTTTTTGAGGTTTCTAATGTTTATTTCGTCTAACTATATGGCTATTCAATATAATCTTAATAGTAGTACTATAAACTCGAAAGCTTGTAAGTATGGATATTTGTAACTCTTTCACGCAAAAACTACTGAACGGATTTTTATGAAACTTTATAGCATATTCATCAGAATAACACATATGCTATATTTAAATTTATGTACTGAAATTGACGCGGGCGAAACCACGGGCACTCACAAATGGCAACGTGTCACATGACACATGTTGTCGCATGACAAACATGTTTTCCATTTCACGTCCTGTTCCATTTGTAATACCAAAAAATACTTTAGATGGCGCTAATTGTACAAATCAGCAAGGCATGGTGTGCCAATATTGTTGACTAGGTCATCCGTCATACTCGTGAACGGGTGCTGCTTGTAGGGACTGTAGTGATCGGGTTAAAAACACTGATTAGACTATTTGCTTTTGACAAAATTGCTATAGCATACGCTGGTAGTCACTCTATTCTCCCAAATTTATATTTATTGTAAACATGTACAGCCATATTTGAAAATAATAAAGCTGAGTTTCTTATCAGATCTTCTCATATAGGAAGAATTCATGATTCAATTCATTCATTCCGAACTGACGGTATCTGAAATATCACAAGAGTCTGTAATAGACCTACATGAATAAATATTTTGATTTGATTTGATATTAATTAAATTTCCGTGCTTAGCCAACAAGTGAAGCACGTTTCACTTCCTCGTAATCTGTAATATTATTAAAAAATATTACACTACGATAAACCTAGTTGGCCTCGACGACGAAGCAAGCACGTTTAAGTCGTTTGTCTCTATTGTAATTAGTCTTTGTGCAAATCTAATGTAACAAAGGTACCGTCCGCCTTGTAAAATTGTTCAAGCTGAATAAAGACTGCTTTATGAAAAATCTAGTTCGTTCCTATTTATTAGTACGGATCGCAGCAGAATAATATATATTCTAGACGTATTTTTTCTGAAGACGGCACAAGTAGAAATAATCTTTATTGAAATAAATTAAATATAATCACTGTTGAATAAACATTCATTAATTTTATTCGTCAATTCTATATCTGTTCTTCTATATTTTTATCACTTTTAATCAAATACTGAATACTTTTAAAATATCGTGTACAAATAAATACAAACTGCCAAACAGCATGAAATAATGAGTAAACAAATTTTAATTTGTTAAACAAGTTTCGCGAATTAATTTATTTAACGGTTTAAAAAAAACATATATTCAAAACTACATAATCAGCGAACAATATGGGCTATATTTCACGTGTAGAGTGAGATAAAAAAAAATAACGCCTGGTGTAATATCGTATTAATAGTATAATGATGATATATCTATGATATAGATCATATATGACATCCATAGTCTTGTACATGCATGTACATCTTATACATATATAGTCGACGGTTACCACTGACTATAAGAAGGACTGTTTGTACTTGTAAAACAAACGGATTTTTCTATTATAAAGAAATTGTATTTTCCCTCCAATAAATTCATTTTAGAACATTTAAAATTCGAGAGTTCTACATATGTTCTTTTTTTTAAAGTAATAAAATATAACGTACCAAAGAGGTTGCATACACTTGTAAATAACAATACCTAACACCTTAGACAAGGACCATCAACAATTAAATGCCAATGACAAAAAAAAATGGTATTCAATGGACAGATAATATCAGGAAATCCGTTGACTGTAACTGGGTTTATCATTCTTAAAAATGGCAGATTTGACAAAGTGACTGGCACGCGGCGGTCTCGAGTACCGATTCAATTTCCTACAACATATTTCATGGGAGCTCGGAGATTCCGCAACCATAACTTTTACATTTGCACGCTGATTTATGAAGTTCAACTTTACGAGGCATGTTTTGTTTTTGTATGCGTATTATGGGGTTATTGCTTCGGTAATTTAGACTTGTCGAGTATATTCCCTTGTTGTAAATGTAATATATGTGTTCATAGAAATATACATCATATTATTAATATTATTGCTAGCTCTAAGCGGCTTCGCTCCCACTAATGTCAATTAGGTCAACCAATTCTTGTAATTGGTCAACATGCGTAATAATTATTAATTATCCTATTAATATTATGTGTTCTAAAGTGTGTCGATCTGTCTATCTGTTTGTTACTTTTCACGACTGAAAGTTAACGAATTGAACGTGAAGATAGATTGCATCACATTTAGAACAATATCAGACATTGGCTACTCTGCTATCTTGCTACTCCCTGTCTGCCTATTGAGATGCTATTATATGTAATATTATGTTATCTGTGCTATTAGTGAAAATAATATAATTTTTAATTATCTTGTTTTTTTTAATCTACTAATATAAGCATTGTTAGCTATGTTACGGTTGAAGACTAAAGCATTAAAAAAGATTTGGAAGAGATCGCTTTTTAGCGATGAACTCTTTCATTATAGTTCTCTAGAACATATGGGTAATATCACATTTGTGTTTGTTGGTTTGCCATTACAATTACATAAACAAACTGGACTGTCGATGTCGTGATGACGCAACACTCAACATCCTTACATTTTTCTGTTTATTTGAGTCTAACGTGGCAGGGAGCGCGCCTACCGCTACCTGTCAGATTAATTTTTAGTTTAACATTGGATTTTCTTTCATTCAGAAATATAGACTGGTAAAAATTTTGTATAATTTTTCAGTTTACCATATTTTAACTCACTCACTAAAAATCATCAACATACTAATACATGTAATAAAATTATTTAATAAAAATAAAATACAACAAAATTAAAATGCATCATGAACTATCAAAAAGACCTGCCAGTTGTAACATTTTTAGGAACAGGTCAACTATAGACGTATACAACAAGAAAGCACCCAGAGCGTAGTCATCTTCACTGAGTTCCACTGCCCTACCCCCCAATATGGTTTGCAGTTCCATAACAAGTATCTAAAAATATAAATAAACTTAATAACTGGATGAGAAGGGCTGAAGATCGTGTCCAGTGCCGTGCCTTGGGAGAGGCCCATGTTCAGCAGTGGACTGCAGTGAGTAGTGATGATGATGATAAATTTTTAAACAGAATGTGTATGTACAAGTAAGTCTATTATATACACTTAAAATAAATCTAATAGTTCTGAATATAGTTCGTACCAAAAAGATCAATCTGCCTACACTTTTTTTTAAATGCGATTGTACAAAATTATAATAATACAAATATTTTAGAATGTATAGAGACCATAAACATATGCTGTTAAATTACAAAAACAACTACTCTATATTAATAAAGGCAAAAATATTAAAGCCTATATAATATATAAAGCAAATAATAAATAAGCAAAAAAAATATGAAAAGTCTATATAATATATTAAATAAATATTTATAATAATATAAAAGCTCTCTATTATTATAAATATTTTTTAACTAGAACAATTTACATAACACTATCTAATACCAAGCTAAACAGAACTTGTGTTGCATATTATAATTAACATATACTGTAAATACATATATAAGATATATAGTAAAAAGATTTCATACTCATGAATACAAATGTACATACATATATATTCGCGACCATCGAGGCCGTCAAAAGATAGTAAGAGATATTTTTACGTACAATAACATTTAGTACTGTGCCAACAAGGAGTATGACAATATGGAGCGGCTTGTAATACGTGTCACTGACTAGCCACGTAATCGATACAATCATGATTACAGCGCTTACTGCCGCTCCTATTACCACCACGTACAAGAGCCATTTGGTAAAGTCAAACTGAAAGCATAGATACATTTATTTGTAATAATACCCTTGGACAATTCATACAGCGCTATTTAGTCCCAAAGTGATAATAACAATAATCTTTGGACAATTCACAAAGCGCCATTTCGACCCAAGTTAAGCTAGCAAAAATCTTGTGTTATGGGTACCAGACAACTGATATAAAATATCTAAATATTTTTCATATCTAAATTTAAATACATAGATATTTTTTTCATAAATACACACATACATACCCTGACCGATATAAACAATCGTACTCACAAATGCAAATATTTGCACTGTGCGAGGAACCCGCGACCGTTGGAAGTAAGGCGGTATACTAAACCACCACCGAAGACGTCGAACTTGTAACCGAGCTTGTATAATGGAAGTGTCCACTACTCAAGTATTATATATATGTGAAGCAAGTCTTTGATAACAGAATCTTTATAATTTAAATTGTCGAATTTCGATCACTGGACGACCACTAATATTAATTAAGTAGTGAAATACTTACACTGCTACAAGCCAACATAATGCATACAATAACGGTGCATACTGTCGCCAAAACAGCATACAAGACCAAACGTGTGTCGTATTTTACTGTGAAATATGACGAAATTACACTCATGGCGGCTACCTAAGAAAAAGGTTTAACAAACATTAAAAAAGTCGCAGCTAGTATTTATTACAAACTAAACTAAAAAGTAACAAACCATACAAACAAAGACACTTTTACATTTATAATATTAGTATATGTATATTAAAAATCACAAATTTACCGCAATGCAGAGACACACGATGTTGCATGGCATCACTCTCGCACACGTAGAACATACCATCGCGTAATTCACTGCTAACATTGTTATACTGCAATTAAAAATATATAACAAAAAAATCTAAATACCTATCACTAGTGTTAATATTTTTTGTTGAAAATATTTCTTTGATTCTGTAAAATTGCCTTATACTCGTTCCTCCTTCAAGATCGATTTTATTTTACTTCCCTATACTAACTTTAACAATTAATAAAGAAATTTCTATTAATAACTACTATTATTAACAACAAAAAATAAACTCACAGTGCTGGTATGAGAACAATAATTCCCATAGATTTGAAAAAGTTTCTCATGTCTTCCCTGAAATTAGAAATTACTTAATCATTACCTTTATATTAGCCTTATTATATATATATAGATCCTATAAGGTGTACTGCCTTATTCACCTTTCCAACAACTAGTTTGGGGCTGAAGTGAATGAAACTGAAGTACCCATCATTTTATTTCGTGACATACATTTAGGTACATCACAGGTGATCTTAAGATTGTAATCTGTAAGACAGATGTTCAAATACAGACAACTTGTTACGAGCGGCTATCTTAGTATTGTATATTAGTATAATTAAGTGAACAATTAGACGAAAGCAGCGACTATACTGAGAATAATACTATAAAAAATGATGACGAAAAGTCAAGATTTCAATATTTATTAATCATAAAATGTATCGAATTCTGTTTAAAATTCATCATTACTTACGATGATAAAACAAAAAAATTAAACCCAACTGTACACAGCAACATAACTAGAACTATAAGAAATACTAATTTCACAAATGAATTTCTTGATTCTGGATCATAATCCAACGGAGTACCCATACTTGGTGCCATATTGTCTCGACCCAAACCTGAAAATTGATAATAGATCATCATCGTCCACCCACTGCAGTCCACTGCTGGACAAAGACCTCTCTTAAGGCTGGGCAAGAACTTAAGCCCATCTCTTCCAGTTGTTACCCGCAACCTTACGTATGTTGTCCCTCCACCTAACTGCGGGGCATTATAATAGTCAAATATGTATGTATAGTATGTATTTATAAAAATATTATTTAAGTATTTATATCAGTTGTTGACACATAATACAAGCTCTGCATAGGTTCAGACTAGATGGCGCTGCGTGTATTGTCCGGGGTTATTGTACAGTAACCCATGTATTCAGATAGAAATATGCAGATCTTTTTTTTTCTATTTATCTGTTACAAACCAGGTAATTTTATAGTAAAGCGTTGTAAATATTTAAATTTGAACGTACCTACGAATTGTACCCAAACTGTGGGAGAATAGGGTGAATTAGAAACATCACAATGTCGTTGCCTCTTAGTTCCTGTTCTAACTTTATCTTCAACAACATCTTTATTATTATTTTCTACGTTTATTTCAAAATCTTCATCATCACTTGTTTTAGGATATCTTACTATTTCCAGATTATTCGATTCAACATCAATTTTAATTTCACCTTCTATATCTTTACTACTTTTATTCTTTTCTTTATAACTTTGGTCAGTCATATTAATTAGATTTCAATATCTCCTTATCGTAGTCATCTCTAAATGTTTTATATAATTCTTGGTACAATTAGTTTGAATGTTAATATATTAACAAAAACCGCTACAGTTAATTGTATCAGTCAGCAATTTATAATAATCTCATAATTGGACGTTTTCTTCGTAAGTTCAAGTAATCTGAATGTTTTTACATATGCAATAATCTGCCAATATAAAGTAGAATCAATTTGATTCTATACAATACTATTTTGGTTATAAAAAAATTGATGACATAAATATCCTCATTGACATTGACAGATCTTTGGTATTATTTATAAAATTATCTAAAACTCGTGTAGCTGCAAAAAGTTCTTTAACTCCTTTATTACCTCTTTACTTAAGTCTTATTTATTTTAAAGCAGAAGAATTCACAACTCTGTTATGCGTCACTTTTTATTCCAATAATTTGAATAATCCTAAGAAATATGTTAATCATCTATGTGTATACCATAAGTGCTCCTAAGGGATGCTCTTCGTCGCTTAGTTCAAAAGCTTTACCCCCTAATAGTCCTAGTATTATTTGTAGTTGTACAGTTTGTACCTGGAAATATTAAAATAACTTTAAAAGATTGCATTCATAATAACTTTCTTGAAAAATAACCGACTCCAAAAACCCCAAAAATGGAACCAGTCTCAAACTCTTTTAACTGAAGACTCTTTGAACTAAACTATTTTTTTTTCTAATCTAATTATAAATGAGAACAACCTCCTCCCTTTTTGGAGTAGGGTAAAAAGGCTTGTCATATGTTGTCTTAACTTTCAAGGGTCTACTACTTAATACTTTCATAATCACTTTTTTGATAGTCAGAAATATAAACTGAAATTAATTAGTGAATCCAATTTGACTCTGACTAAGTTAGCAATTATTAATATTCTCGTATTGAGCCATCTTCGTTGACAGGAAACTGTCAAACAACAGTTCAGAACTTGTATAATAAAACTTGTCTATTAGATGAACTAAGACAAAAGTCTTTGGTTTAAGACAAAATTATTATTTTTCTGTTCAATGTATCAATCAAATGAGATAATATTTATATTTCCAATCATAAAGTATTTAACATTTAAAAAAATATCGACTATTTTGGAAAAAAAGAGTCGAATAAATCTTTCTTTAAATGTATAGTATATGTATAAATAGTAGTATATATTAGTAGTACATCATGTAAAACCTAAGATATTTCACAATTTGTCTAAGGCAGAATTTTTATATCATTTCAATTGAAAAATGGTAAATTTTATCTTTTATGAATTGACGTAGCTACTAAGTGTCTTGGGAACACTTATGATAAACTTCCAAGACTTTTATGTAAACTACTTTTGTCTTTATCAGTTAAAAGTTTAACGGCGACTGGAGAGTGAAGCCAACTATAGTTTTCTGTCATGCTAGAATATGCTAAAATAGTACTTAAGTGTATTTATCTTGTTACGTTATCAATACGCAGACACCTCACTGGAGAGTTTCAAATATAATATTATATAATTTTAACTCTCGATATTATTACTAATATTACAAAAATTAGTGACACCAGAGGTATGAATGATGTTACGAGTGTCACATGTTAAATGTCCAATAGACGTCAATTTGTTTGACGGTGGATAAATAAATAAATTTTATTTCATCTCCACAAATTACATAATTCCAGTCGCATTATTATTATAGCTTGTTTGGCTTTGAATAGTATTACAAAGCAGGCATGTGTGTGATGTTCTATGTAAAATTTATATATAAAATTATAATTTATATTTTATTTATATTTACATGTGTGTGTATAATATACTAGGTGCAATTGAACAGTAAAAAAATTGACAAATTTTCATACAAACTTTTATCCCTTATTTTATCCCCTTGGATAAAGGACATCACATCTGAGTTCCCTAGAATGAGTTTGCATGAATGATGTCACGAGTGCAATAGCTTTAGAATAATTTAAACATGAAACAACAATTTTTAGCTTAGAATATCATAACAACAAACATAAAATTGCTCGAAATATCACTATTTCATATTTTACTTTTTTCTGAATATTTTTTGCCATCAAATTCCAATTTTTAGTGACAATTTACTGCAGTGGTTTCAATTTCGCTTCCTGACTATTTTTAAAGCAATCTAACTAATGTTATTGAATGGATGGATGTTAGGATAGTTGTTACTCTTTCACTCAAAAAGTCACTCAATCAAGTAAAAATGGATAATTCAGCACACAAACAGAATATTCTAGAATATTATATTCTAAAGTAACAGATAGAACATTTCTTTAACGATTTCATACGAAAGCTACTATGCACACAGATCCATCTCATGCTTAGCTAAGCAGGGCTTGTGTTATGAATACTAGATAACTGATATAAATACATAGTTTTTTTTTTGTAAATAGTTACATACTTAATATAAATAGAAAACACTCAGACCAATTCAGATAATCATACTCATTAATACAACTGTATGCATCCTGCGAGGAATCGAAAGTAAGGCGGTGTGCAAAATCGCTAGACCACCGAAACCGAAATAATGTTGTGAAAATTGCTTGGTTTTGAAAATTAGCCAGTATCCAGGCGTAGCAAAACTTTAGTAATGAACGCTCTCAAGACTTAGCAACGTACAAATGATATCTAATTAAACAGCTACTCACCATAACCTGTACGACGGAGGTGATAACGAGTTTGACGAGCCATAAAGACATAATGGGCGTGTTGGAGACGACAGACAATGCGACAATAACCGCAATTGCGCTGAACGTGATCACAATTACCATAGCGTACAGGATATAACTGGTGAAATCAAACTGAAATCAAATTTCATAGTCAGTTAAATTAAATATCCGTTGCTATTTAGGTAATTTACAAAACAAATATGTATAATAGTGAGATTTAATGACTAGCATTATCATCAATGTAATACTTTATCACTCTATATTGCTATTGGACTTTGGTTTCTTCTTATTATATAAGAGAATTATTTAGCAAATTCTTACCAAAGGAAGATTGCTAGTAAAAGTACAAATAATTAGAAATATATCTCAATTCACTACCACACGGTCCACTATTGTTTTTTTTTGTAATATTTATTAAATTTTGACAATATTTAAACATTGACTGATTTGTAAGATTAACTCTAATAAATTATTGATTAATTAATATAATAGCGTCTTATAATGTAGGTGTACTCTAACAAACGATGAATTTGGTATAAAATATTGTATTTTTTAGCTACTTACATTAAAACGGGCCAACATTATACAAAAAAAAAAACTACAAGTGATGTGGCTATTGTGGAGAACAATAATATATTAGTATGATAGCTAGCTGTAACTTTTGCTGAAATAACACACTTCGATCCCACCTGGAAAGAAATGTACACCGTATAGCTCTATGAAAATCGTAATAAACAAGCCAGCAAATTATGGAAATATCAAAAATAATAATGATAATTAAAAAGAGCGAAATTTTGATAGAAAATAAGTTATATAATTTATTAGTATAAAATGCAATGTTTTTTTTAAATTAAACAATACTATTCTTAATACTTATATTGTTTTCTGGACTGATATTTTATAATTGTGTACAGGTATTTAATGATTTACTAAATTTACAGTTAGACATAAGATGCTGTAACAGATGCCGTACATAAAACCTCGAAATCTCGAAGAAGACTTCCGGATGAAGTCAAAACAATTATCGCGAAAGGCGAAAACGTACGTTCAATAAAGTCCCATACATGTTATAAAAAATTAAACATACATTTATAATTTTATTGGATCTATTATTTACACCTTTTTAAATCTGTCTTATTACATTAAAATCATAATTTAGTCGATTTTAATGTAAAATGCTAAAAGATCGTTTTAAATATACAGTTATAATAATTACCGCCATGAACAGCAAAAAACAACTACAGGGTCTTCGTCTCATGCATGGCACGCACAGCATTATGTAATCTATGAATACTAATACAATTCTGGGAAGGAAACACAAATATAATTGAGATTCCAAATAAATGAAACATCGTCATTGTATTTCATTATAATACAGTTATAATTATTGGTAAAATATTGCGGGAGCAGAATTAAGCGAGAGAACATAGTAGATGGACTACGATAATATTATGAAATTCAAACTCAGTATTGTATTTATAATTAATAAAAAATCTATAGGAAATTTCAGGCTTACAGCGGCAGAATTATGACGGACCAACAACACGTTCGAAGATTATTCTAACCACAGGCCTGAAATAAATAATAATTACAAAAATGTAATTATTAATTCAGAACAGAGAACATTTTTACTATTCATTAATAATTTTACTTAAATTAATTTATATTACAAATATATATGATCACAATATAAAAAGGAGATAAAAAAAATTTACTTAAATACAATCTAGAAAACTTACGTAACCATCACATAGGCCATAAAGTAGGCGGTAACAATCAACATAATGAGCACAGTAAGTAATACATTTTTGACAAAGGAGTTACGTGTACTAGGCGAGTAACTTACAGGTGCTCTAAAGTAGTAATCTTTATAAGGTGGCTGATGAGATTGCTTCGGAACAGAACCTGAAATTAATATACATTTTTAATCTTCCTTACACCAAATACTAGCTATTATTTAGATACATATTTCTTTAACTGGAATAGCAAGATGGAAGTCCATCTAATGGTAAATGGTAACCGTCAAATATATACTTGATCTGCTCCACGGATGATGATATGTAATTTCACTGTTTTATTTTTTCTTTCAATTGAAACACAACTTACAAATTCTGCCGAAATAGATCGGACAGAGGTGCTTTAGGAATGACTATATACCAAGTCTACCTAAGTGTTATATATTACTAAGTCAAAGTGTCTTAACATTTTTGTTTCATCAAGTATGAAACTAGTTACATTTGTTTTGACAGATCTCCCCAAGAATCTGGCATATCTAATAATGGTACTTTCAATACATGCATTATAACCAGATATGCTTCATA